CGCAAGATGTGTTCGTGACCCTCTGTGCCACAAGAAAAAGCAGATTAAAACGATATGGATAGGAAAAGCGACTTCTGCCGCCGAGATAAATCTTCGAAACACCTAAAATCGACGATCAAAATATGGCGGAACTGTACCGAGCCGAGAGAAACTGGGGTAAATAGGCTTCATGTACAAGAACATTTTCTGTCCTTAACAACAGGCAGTAACTAAGGGCTCGAACCTCACTACCCGCTTCACATTACATGGTATACTTCATTACGAACTTCGCATTACGTGGTATAGGTATGACAACCATCTTATTTCGAGATGAATTACATGACATGATGATATCACATTAATTTTTTCCGACCTATTTCGACCTGTTTCATGTGTCTTTGACATTTGATGAGTCGTAATATGTCGTAATATGTCGAAAGTAATTTTGCTACAGATGGCACGCAAATCCCTTAACCCCTTTCCGCCAAAATTGTTTTGGTTTAGTTGTTTGCTTCTATAGTAAGGCTTTTGGATGAGAAACAGTAATAATGACCGCTACAAGACGTATTTTATGACTACCGGCGCGACAATGGCAGAGAGTTTGACTTTTGCCTGTTTTGAGCTCTCTAGCTCTTCTTGTGGAATGCCGTACCCTTGGCATGTTCCTTTTCAACCTTGGTATATGTGATGTGAAGCTTTCGTTATTTTATTTCAAAATTGCTTAAGTTCTTGATGAGTAAATTAAAACGAGAAGTCTTTACAGTCTGAGTGAGGTGCATTTGCTGCTCCAGTTTTCATACCTTACGAAAACCGTCCGCTCAAACTGATTTACAAGCACATTCTTGAAGTTTGTCACGATAAGCAGGTTTATTATATGTAACTATACAATATGTTATAATTATTTTTCAGGCTTGATGTGTGTAGACAAGCGTAAAAGTTGTCCATCGTGGGCTTCTCAGGGTGACTGTAAAACTAATGGCTGGACTGAAAGAAACTGCCGCATAAGCTGCAAGACACGGTGTGATACTCATCCAGTCAAGCCTACAGGTAAATAGAATTCCTCGTTTTCCCTAGCTTGCCGTTTTTCACTCCTCTAGACAATTATTCTGCATGGTCGAGGCAGCTCCATGTTGAAAATAACCCGTGCATGATTTACTTTCAATTGATAACGTCTTACAGAATTGAACCTCAGTTTTATATTTGACCATGCAGGTTCTTGTTCTGACGGTCTTGGTCTTGGATGGCCTGGAAACTACCAACTACCCGACAGCGCATTCAGCGCGTCATCGGAATACAGGCCCGGTGCGTTTCATTTGTGTCAATTCAATCAATCTTAATTGATTTTTTTTTTCTACCAGTGTCGCGCTGAGATTAGCCACAGGCTAAACTAAGCAACGTAGATCCTGAAGTACGAGCAATATGCTGAGAATAAATAAACGTTTCTGAATTATCTCTAGGCACCTGGAGGGCAACGGCGGATAATGCTCGTCTTTACTTTGAGGACGATCAAGACAACAAGAGGATTGGAGCGTGGTGTGCCAATGATCGAGACAACCAGTGGCTTAAGGTTGATCTTGGTAAAACTAAGAGGATAAGGGCAATCACTACACAAGGTAACAAATTAAAACAGTTATCAGTGATACAAACAATCATAATTTAAAAAATGAAAATCAGTATTTACCACGTTCACGGTAGCTTGCTTTCTCTGCCGACCACTCCTGTGGCGCTTTTCTTTCCTGGCGAGTCTGTTCACAGGGTATACCGAGACTCAAGCTCCTTATGTTGAAAGCTCTCTATAGAATTCTCTTTCCTTCTCTATAAGCCCTCCGGGGAGCTTAAGAGAGTGTTTATGGCACAGACAGTCGACCATACTCTATCTGCACTGGATGCACATTTTCTGTAGCAGACATTACTACAAGTTTTAATTTTGAAGAATTTTTGAAGGAGGATCTACTGAAGTACTGAAGGTCCTGAATAAAGAGCTGTAGTGTGATAAATCATAATTTTGGCACAGGAAGCCCTCTTTAATTTAAGAGGCATGGCCTTTTTGCAACGAAAATAAACATATCTAAACTGCGAATAATATTTTTTGATGTCCCGAGAGGACATGTGCAATAGGAATAACCATAGTATATTCAAAGAGTAATGAAATGTAAAATAAGTCTCTGCAATTTACGTTTTTTTTTATAATAGGCAAACTGGTTGCCATTATTGCGATTACAATGCCTAGTTTAAACATTTATCAGCTGGATTATCTCTTCAGGTCGTGACGTTTTCCACGAGCACGTCAAAGAATACAAACTGGCCTTCAGTAATGACGGGTCCAACTTCAGTGTTTACCAAGAAAATGGAAAGGAAAAGGTTGGCTTAAAACGGAAAAACGTTTTAATGTTTCACAGTCAATCCATATTACTCATTACCGAGTGACCGATTTCCACGATTCCCTTTTCAACATTTCTTTATTTCTTACATTTTTGTTTTGCTGTGGCCGGATTCCAAACGAAACATTTAATTTCTTACTGTCAGTTGATTTATTTTTTATAAGGAGACCTAAGTTTAATTTCACATTGATTCGTTCACAAGGAGTTGACTTTTCTGCATTTACCGCTGTATTGAGAACACTAGCTCAGTTACGTCGCATCATGGGCATGAAAAGCTGATAGAATAAAAATACATTTAGAACTAACTTAACCTAAAGTAAAGCAAAACTTTAATGTTAATTTTTTGAAAAAATTTACGGTGTTATACTTCTTTTCGCCTGTATTCTGACAGTTTATTTTAAAATATCGATATTGTCAAAAGTTACATTCTAGTCTTTAAACATAAGTAACCCTCAATTTTCATACGTGAGTCCTTAACACCACACATCAATGAATCATTGAAATAACAGTGGAACTGCGTGATTTCTCTAGGTCTTCACAGGAAACTGTGACCACTTCACTCCAGTTTTGAACACATTCAACCCTGTCACGGCCAGATATGTCAAGATCATTGTCGTCAAAGCCAGTTATCCGTGTATGCGGGTTGAATTCTATGGGTGTGACGTCTAAAGCTGGTACGTCAATTACATTCATGAACTCCATGTTTTTTAAGGTTACTTCAAACCTTCGCGGGGCTACATTGGTCGATATTTTTTAGGTCAAGAAAATTAAAGTCCGCGAAGCTCAAGTTTGCATACTGTGAACGCTAGGGGCTCTATTATTTCATTGGCTCGCGGCTTTTCAAGATGACACATTCCTCTGTGAAGGCGTGATATGTTTATAAATTCTAAAAAGGCGAAAACTCGCACTCGTTTTTCGACAGAACCCCTTCTCTTTAAATGAATTAATAGGGTATGCAGATTTGACAGTTTTCCATGAAATTCGGTCAGAGCATTCACTGATAGATATGGAACAAAAGTGTGTCGGCGAATTCCCTTATTTTAAATACTTTCCTCGTGGCGGCCTTTAA